CGCAGGGCGACTACAACCACCTGCAGGCGTTCTACAGCCAGGAGAACAAGGTGCTCTACCTGGTCCTCACCGCCATCGGCGACAGCCACCAGCTGCTTCAGGCCTACAAGGACCTGGAGGCCATGGGGGGCGCCCGGGGCTCGGCGGGCCTCGGGGGCCCGGCCGGCTCCCCGCTGCCCCACGCGGAAGCCCACGAGTTCTGGAAGCAGCAGGAGAAGACGCACTGCCTGAACCTTCTCTACCTCTTCTCCGTCTGCCACATCCTGCTGATGGTGCACCCCACCTCCTCCTTCGACATCACCTACGACCGGGTCTTCCGGGCCCTGGACGGCCTGCGCCAGAAGGTCCTGCCCACCCTCAAGGCCGCCATCAAGGACTGCCCCGTCGGCAAGGACTGGAAGCTCTTCTGCCGGCCCTGCCCGCCTCGCCTGCTCTTCCTGTTCCAGCTCAACCGGGCCCTGAAAGTGGAGCCTCCCCCGGGCCGGGGGCAGGAGCTCGGGGGCCCGCTGGAGAAGCCGCCCCCCAAGAAACACTCGCCCAAGCGGCGGCTCCAGCACGCCTTGGAGGACCAGATCTACCGCATCTTCCGCAAGAGCCGGGTCCTGACCAACCAGAGCATCAACTGCCTCTTCACGGTCCCGGCCAACCAAGCTTTCGTCTACATCGTAGCTGGCGGGGCCCAGGAGGGTGAGGACCCCATCGCCGTCTTGCTGGAGCAGCTGAGAGGCAACTGCACGGCCCGGGAGGCCGACACCTCGCTGGGCCCGGCCTTGGCGGGGCCGCGGCGGTACCAGATGATGAGGCACGGGAGACAGCCGTTGTCCTTCCACGCTGAGAGCAGCGGCGGCGGCAGCGGGAGCAGCGGTTCCAGCTCCTCCGGTCAGCTGGTGGACTGCACCTTGAAGGAATTCTTGTTCCAGCATGTGGAGCTGGTCCTTTGCAAAAAGGGCTTTGATGACAGCGTGGGGAGGAACCCCCAGCCTTCCCACTTCGAGCTGCCAACCTACCAGAAGTGGGTCGCCACAGCCCTGAAGCTTTACGAGGTGGCTATTGAAGGCAAGGAGAGCGACTCCTCTCCAGGCGGGGAGCTCACCTCCAAGATCATGGGCAGCATCAAGGTTCTGGAGGGCTATTTGGACATCGACACCAAGTTCTCCGAGAACCGCTGCCAGAAGGCCCTTCCCATGGCCCACAGTGCCTACCAGTCCAACCTGCCTCATAACTACACAATGACCATCCACAAGAGCCAGCTCTCCCAGGCGCTGCGGGTCTACAGCCAGCACGCCCGAGGTCCGGCCTTCCACAAATACGCCCTTCAGTTGCACGAAGACTGCTACAAGTTCTGGAGCAACGGGCACCAGTTGTGCGAAGAGAGGAGCCTGACGGACCAGCATTGCATGCATAAATTCCATTTGCTACCCAAAGCGGGTGAGTTCCAGGCCCTTGAAGTTTAGACACTTCAGAGGAGCAGATTGTCTTCCTCTCTTTTGGTTCTATACTGGGCACATATGCCTTTCTCCTGGGTAGGGGAGTCGTTTTGTCAATGGGTTTTCCCAAAACACACAAAGCTGGAAATGCAGAGTTTTGGATTTCCCTTAAGGTTTCTAGTCCTCTTTGTTTTTCAGAATACAATAAAACTTTGATTTAACAGACCGTTCACAGGGAAGGAGAGTCTGTTATTCCCAAATGCTCATTAACCCTGAAAGTGCAGCGTTCGAGGTGATTTATAACATTTGAGTAATTACATTATGTAAAAGGCATAACTATAATGCAGTTTAATGTAAATTTAAGTATCTTGTCCAATCTGCTTTAGAGATGACAGATTTGTTGGTTGGGGGGGGGCTGTCCAGGTGGCAGTTCAGTCCATTTGCATCCAAAGTGTGTTAAAAGGGGATCTGTTGAATTGAGCTTTGCTGCAACATGTTGCCGATGCTTGCTAAATATTCAGCATGCAGAATAGTTTGGGATTCTGGTGGGCCTAATGCAGGCAACATTTCCAGCATATTGCATCTTTTCAGCTTCCAATAATCATTGATATATAGGAATATTTTCAACTTGTGCCTTCTATTTGCTTTTTCCTGAAGACACTCTTTACCCGATACTTTTAACCGGGTCCTGGAAGAGCTGGTTAGTGCACTATGTGAACACCTAAACCCAGTCAGCAGAGGAGGAAGGGGCCAAGAGAGTTAGTTTTGAGCTTTAAACCTTGCTTAAGGCTAACTTAGCTGACCTCTGTTAGCCATGTCTTCTGAATAGGAAGGAGAGAGAGAGCAAGGTCTCAGAGCTGCTCTGTGCAACGGACTTTCCCAGGCATTGGGCCTATGTCCCCCCCTTTGCCCCCTTATAGCCAGATTGGATAAGGTGCTGAAAGGGTTGGGAGTGAGTATGCCAGCCCCACTTCTGTCCACGTGCTAGCCCTTCAAGGTAGGCCAGGTCAGATAATAAAAACCATAAGAATTACTGGAATTCTGCTTTCTCGTAATAGAGATTAATAGCAGAATCTTAAGGGATTGTCCCTCCCTCTGCTTATACGAAGGAGAATCAAGGCAGGGCAGTCTTGAGTTTCTTTCTCACATCTTCCTGACTAAGCTGATGTTTACATACATCATACATACATACATACATACGTGTACTCCTCAGTTAACAATGGTAATTGGAACCGGAATTTCCGTTGCTAAGCAATGCGGTTGTAAAGTGCAGTGTCACGTGACCGTGCTGTTTAGTGACGGCAGTTCTAGCAGTTCCTTGTTAACATTGTTAAGCGACAACTGTCCGGGTTGTTAAACAAGGACCTTACGTGATCGTGGCTTCCAACTTCCTGCTGGCTTCCCCATTGACTTTGCTTGTGGGAAGCTGGCAGGAAAGGTCGCAATTCATGATCACACGACCACGGGGACACTGCACCAGCCAGAACTTCAAGGACTGGTCATAACTGCCACCCGTTCAACACTGTCACAGGTTTGAATGGTCGCTCAGCGAATGGTTGTTAAATGAGGACCACCTGTAATGGGTGTTGCATGCTTTCTTCAAGGCCATCTCCATACTCCTCTGCACTATTGGTGGTGCTGACCCTGGCTGGACCATCACAAGTTGCTTTTTCAGATGTTTGTTTCATTCCAGGGGCAGAGGCAGCAAAAAAGTGTCTGGCTTCCATCCAAAGCATGTGTTCCTCCTTTGGGTAAAAGACATTAGTGAATATCTTCCATGGTTTAGTATAGTGGCTAACGTGCTGGATTAGAAACTAAGAGACTGAGTTGTAGCTCTCCAAAGTGGGATGTAAATCTAATAATACAGGTAGTCTTTGAGTTATGACCATTCGTTGTTCAGTGCTGAAAAAGGAGACTTATGACCTGTCCTCAGTTCCAGCTGTCCCAGCACCCCCACAGTCACATGATCATGATCTGGGTGCTTGGCAACCCCTTCGCACTTACAAGCAGTTGCCAAGCGCCCTGTGATCACAGGATTGCCATTGGCAACCTTCCGTGCTGGCTTCCCCCAAGCAAAGTCAATGGGAAGCCGGCAATGAAGATCGCAAGTTGCTGGGGTAAGTCTCCCCACCCCCCAGCCTTTCTTCACTCACACGCACTGTGCTCTCCTTCCCCTGTTCACTCACACACCCCTGGACCCTCTTTCCCTGGCCTCCCTGTGATCGCACACACATTCGCACACACCCTGCACCCTCTTTCTTCAGCCTTCCTGTGGTCCTGCACACACACCCCCACGCCCTCTTTCCTCAGCCTCCCTGCAATTGCAGCACCCAACGTCCTCATTCCCTGGCTTGCATGTGGCCTGTGCCTGGCCTCCCGGGGCCTCCCCCACCTTCTGCAGCACCCCTGCGCTCCTTACTTGGGACTCCCTCTACTTCTGCTTAATGACCCATGCATCTTCAGTTATGATGACAACTAGGACTGCCTGGATTACCGTCACTAAGCGATGTGGTCACGTGATGTTGCTCTTTATGACCGCATTGCTTAGTGACGGCAATCCCTGTCCCAATTGCAGTCATAACTCGAGGACTACCTGTAATCAGGGATCATGCTGTGATCAGCCAACTGACTGATTAGTCATGTAGCGAGAGCATTTCTGTAAAGTATAAAATGTTTTAGATAATCCCAAATTAACATTGTAGATGCTTATGTTTCAAAAAAGGGCTGATGTCACAACCAGAAGATTCTCTTTTTAATGGGGGGGTGAACCTCTGACTTCATTAGAAGCTAGAATATTGCACTGTCGTATTTTTGTGACTGCTGAAAAATGGAGAGTTGACATTTTTGTGTTGAAAACGTACAGCATCTGACCACACAAAAATGCCAACTTTCCATTTTTCAGTTTAAGAAAAAAAAACATTTCAGTTTAAGAAAGAAAACCAAGAAGCAAAACTTTGCTCTTGCAAAGGAATGAAACTGATGCATTTTTGCTCTGCCACTTTCTGTGTAGGGGAGAAACCAGAACCGGATCGGAATCCCCCAGTGTTGCACCATAACAGCCGGGCCCGTTCTACCGGTGCCTGCAACTGCGGGAGGAAACAAGCGCCCCGGGACGATCCCTTTGACATCAAAGCTGCAAATTATGATTTCTATCAGGTAATCCCTTTCTCTCCAAGAAATACAGATCCATACCTGGCCAGCAGAGTCTTCATTTTGGAAATCCAGTGCAGAAGAAGGCTTGTGTTTTGCAATCCACACTAGGCTCAGGATCACATTCCCACAACAAGCTAAGCCATATTTATTGTTGTCAGGGTTGGGATTAACCTGCCAAGCGTCCCACCCGCCAACACCCTTCTCCTCTGGGGCCAATGGCAGATCATCCCAGCAGTCCTATTTGTTTTATTTTTTTATTAAATCTATATGCCACCCAACTCCCAGCCACTCTGGGTGGCTGGAGTTAGGCCCACCAGGGAGAGAGTGGTGGAAAAGCTGATTTTTCCCCTTGTTCTCTTTTTTAATCAAAGCATGGCTGCATGTAAGAAGAGGCAGTGAAACATAAAGCAGGAGCAGCAGAGATGATTGTGCACTCCAGCGTGTTTTCCTGGAGGATTAACAGCTGCTTTGCCAGAAGTGAGACTTTAAATCAGGATCCATAACATGCCAGTATGTGTTTAAGACAAGCTAACCAGCAACAAGCCATGATTACAGATTGTGGTTAAAGCACTCTTCCTTCACCCCCAGTCTGATCTGTGGCTTCGGCTGGGGCAAGTTAACAAACCAAAGTAAAATATTTCCACTGTGTCATGCAGAAGTGGGGAACATACGATTTGAAAGAAATATTCAAGTTTTGGAAATAGTACCCTTCCAAAAAAAAGCTAATAAAAATCCTAATTTTATTCTCACAACAACCCTGTTAGTGGGTTAGACAGAGAGTGCGTTTGCATACGGAGCACAATATTTCCCAGTGAGATAGGCTGAACCTATATTGGAAGTTTAGGCATTCTACCTACCTCACTAGACTGTTTCAGTTATCCATTATATATTGGCAGATGATTTTTTTTTTATCCAACCTTTATTATTTTTATAAATAACTCAAGGTGG